ATCCCACCCGGAAAAGTGAGCAATAGCGCATGCGCACCGGGGCTTTTACGACGTTATTCCGTGCCCCAGAACACAGACGCATTTCCTGCGGTAATGTAATTTCGCCAATGAGCTAAGAGCCCTGATTAGCTGTTGAAGCTGATATTTGCAGACCGGGTGGGAACACAGCGCCCATGCCTTATAGTTCCGCAGAGTTCAGGGCTACCCACACCCACCTTAACCCTTCATTACAGATTTTTTTTTTTACAGAAAAATTTCAACAGACAAAGCAGAAAAAAGTGTGTAATGAACGCTCATGTACCCATCAATCCGTTTCAATAATTATCAACATTTTGCCATTCTTGCTTTCATTCTGTTTCCCTCATTTTTTTGTTGGGAGTATTTTAAAGCAAATCATGATAATGTTTAGCTTTAAATACTTCAGTCTATCCTAAAATACACCCAACATGATTCACCATAATTCCTTCGTACCATCTAATAGCCAGTCTATAACCAAAGTTCCCCTACATAATGTTTGCAGTCGGTGTGTTTCAACATAGATCCAAACGGGCCTACAGATTGCATTTGGTGGATGACACCCTTAGTCTCTTTACACCCCCCGACCTTCCACCCCACTTCTCTTTTCCCAATTCCACTCGGGTTTTGACGAACCAGAGTTTTCCTCCTCTGACCCAACTCGGAGGGGCCGAGCTCTCCGGAAGGGTTCTGGGCGGGGCTTCCGGTTAGGCCCGCCCCTTCCCCATCGCAGCCAATCCGAGCAGGACCAGCGAAGCTCCGGCTTCCTCGCCCCGAGCTGCAGGAGGTGCTTCCCCTGGGCCCGCCTCTTCCCTCTGAGCCAATCCCGACGAGCCTGCGAGTGGCTTGGCTTCCCCCGGCTCCGTGCTCTCAGGTTACACGACTAACGCTGCGAGGTGGTTCTGACGGCCCCCCAGTACCGAGACGAGGCGCCCGGTTTTCCAGGTCCGCGCTCCTAGTCTCCTTCGGGCCGCAGAGCCCGGGCTCTCAGGAGGATGGGTAAGGGCCCCGGTGGAAGCGTTCGCGAGGCGGGAGGGAGAAACCGTTTTACCGAGACCCTGTCCCGGCGGAGCGGCGTTCCCGGGACCCTGCAGAGGTGGCTGCGCTTTCAGCATGGCTATCGCTGGGGGCACGGGAGGATCATCTCCTTTTGACTTGGCTTTTCCCTTTTGCTTCTAAAATCGTCCTCTAGTAAAGGGCAGAGACAGCCGCCACTCCTCCCCTTCCCCACGTGTATTGAGGATCTCTCCAGGGCGGAGCGACACCTGTGAACAGTTTAGGCGTCGCCTTTTGAATTGATCCCAGGTTTAACATTGGAGCCCAGGTCCACCCATTTCTCACTTCAAAATGGAGTGTGAGGTCAGTTAACATTTAAGGACCCTTTAGAAGGGGTCATGGGTCTTTAAAAATAAACAGAAAAAAGGGAGTAGTTTTAGTACTTTAAAAAACTTTTCTTATGGAGCTAGCATAACAACGCGAAATCAACTCATAATTCCCCATAAAGTGTTTTGACTCTGTTACCTTCTTTTGCTCCCAAATGGTATATCCAAATAAAGGTTGTGTGTGTGTGTGTGTGTATTAGGATTATAATTTTATCATTTATCACGTTGCCACATAATGTATTATTATTTTATATATTTATCTTTTATTTTAGAGGGAGGAAAGGGGGACGAAAGATAGACAGACAGACAGACATCTATGTGAGAGAGAAATATTGATCGGTTGCCTCCGCAGGTGCCAGGGCCAGGGATGGAACGGAATCCTGGGTGTGTGCCCTGAATGGGAACCGGCCACCTTTCGGTGAACGGGGGTGACGCTCCAACCCACCGCGGGAGCCACATGAGCCAGGGCATGTATTATTTTCACTAGAGTTGATTTTCTCTAGAGTTCTTAGCCTTGTTGTTGAATATGGAGGGTGTTTTTTTTTTTTTTTAAATAAGAGTGGACCTTTATGTAGATGTAGCTTTAAATACAATTACATATGTGTGTCATTTTAAATTTAGACCCTTCTTTGGATACCTGGGACTTCTCACCTTTAATATCATTATGGATAAGCAGATATTACATATACTTGGGCTTTGCCTTTGGTATTGGCCTTTGGATTTGTTTCCAGATTGTTACCAGGAAGCAGGTAAGTGGAATCATTTTTTATAGGAGAATATTAAGGCATTAGATTTTATAGAGAATTCAGAGTGCAGATTTTCTAAGTCATTCAGAAAAATGCAGAAAACCTAAAAGGAGCTTTAAATCACTTCTATGTTTAATGTGTAGACATTTTTCTTAATGCCTAAAAAAGTTTATTCTCTGTTTTTACACGCTAAATTACCTTGAGCTAAATTATATTTCCCTTTTCTTTGATGGGCTGTGGATGTCTCATTCTTAAGGTACAGAAAGATTTTGTAATGAAAAATTCAACTTTTGTAAAAAACCAAATTTGGTTCACATCTTTAAGGGGTAGTAGTCTTTTCTTTCCACTATTTAAGGATCAAAAAAGGTTTTTACTCTTATCCCACTAAAAAACATTAGGAATAAAAGTTTTATCTTTGAATAATACTTTCATGCATATAATACTATAATAGGAATCATTATGGTCTTAACGAAATATGGGTCCTGCCTTGTAAGGACCTAATTATACCAAGGAGTTAGTGTTTGAGGAGTACAACCAGGAAGATTAAGAGAATAATAAAATGGGTCAGTATCTGTGCTAATTTTCATTCCTACTGGAGTTGGGAGAAGATTCAAAGTAGATTTGTGATTGTTTATCTTCAAGGACAAGAACTCACAGGAGAAATCTATTCCAAAAGCAGCTCAGGATTTGATGACAAATGGTTATAGCTCTCTTCACAAGAAGGAAGTCTTTGTGTCTGGAGTGAAGATTTTCTATGGTTCCCAGACTGGTACAGCAAAGGTTAGAACTTTTTATGTCACTTTCCCTTGAATTTCCTGATCTTTAAGAAAAATCCCTGAAAAGTGTCTTTTAGCAGTGAACTGAATTGGTCTTCCAGTCTTCTTTCATCATTTTTTCCCCTTTCCAGCATCCATTTTTCCTTCCTGGGATGGTAGGTAGGTTTTATTTCTTGTGCCCAATTCCAGCTGATTGGTGGTGTCTGGTGGTGACTGTCATGAGGAGTTATGTTGTGAAGCTTGCTTCTATCTCAGCAGAATGGAGAGAGTTGCAAGTCCATTCTTGATGCCTGTTGGTATAGAAGGAGGAGATAATGAAAAGAGGATGGCAGCAGTAGTCTAGTACGGGCCCTGAATTTCACATATTTGTTTAATGAAATGAATTTTGATTTTGAAAAGTGTTAAAAGTATTAATGATTGCCCTGGTCGGCGTGGTTCAGTGGTTAGAACGTCAGCCTGAACACTGGAGGGTTGCAGGTTTAATTCCAGTCCAGAGCCCGTACCTGGGTTGCAGGTCCAGTCCCTGCTCCGGTGGGGGCACGTGTGGGAGGCAACCAGTTCATGTGCCTCTGTCACATTGATGTTCCTCTCCCTCTCTCTCTCCGACTCTCCCCATCCCTCCTCCCTTCCATTCTCTTTAGAAACCAATGGAAGAAATATCCTCACTGTTTGAGTGAGGATTAAGAAAAAAGTATTAATGATAGACATGGAATACTGTTTAAAGTACATTCGCTGCAGATAGGTACTGACAGATACATTCTTTGATTGTATCTGGATGCTGCCTGCTTCTTTGTTATGAAGGTCAGTCACAGCTATTTAGTGCTCTCTAGGAAAGGATTCTAAGGCTGACATGAAAATGGCTTAAAAAAATTCGGTTTCAGTGATTTTTGTATAGTATGTACAAAAGAGGGTTCTACTGACCTCTTGTGGGTATTTTGTAGAATAATACTTTTTAGTTTTTTAGTATTCCAGTGCAGGTATAGTACTTTGCTCCACATCATACTAGTAGTTAAAGGTCACTTTTTATTAAGTTCAGCTTTAAGCAACAGAAGTGGGAAACTGAAACACACACAAAAAAGCATCTGAACAACCAAAACAAAGTCCTTTTATGTTACTCATAAAAGATCTTATGAATGTTTAAAAACATTTTTAAGAGTGCTCTGGCTGGTATGGCTCAATTGGTTGAGCATCATCCTGTGCACTGAAAGTTCACTGGTTTGATTCTCGGTCAGGGCACACACCCAGGTTTGATAGCCCTCCCTCCCTCCTTCTCTCTACCTTCCTCTCTAAAATCAATGGAAAAAAATTTTAAAAAAATAAAAGTTTTAAAGATCAAATTAATCCTTGCAGATAGTAACAGTTCCAGGCATACAGAGAGTCCATAATGAAAAGTGCTCTCCAGGGAATCTCTGTTAACTATTTCTATTTTAGTTCCTCTGATGGTTATTTCTTTAACCTTCTTGCGCTATGTTTCTAGATTTTTCAATTTTAGATAAGTTATTAATTCCTTATATTAGTTCACACAAACATTCCTCAAATCTCAGTTAATATTGTTGTCCACATCATAGTCAGTATGGGTTAGTTGGCTCTCCTTAAAGCTGTGCCACCTCAATTTTCTTTATTCTGCTTTCACATTTGATTGATTCATATTTGGCTGGGTATAGAAGACTGTGTCAAAATTTTTTCTTTACAACTTTGAAGGCATCACTTCATTGTCCTCTAGCAAGCAGCGTTGCTGATGACATTTTGAAGATGACTTGATTTTTTTGTTTCTGGAAGCTTTTAGGATCAGATCTTAAATGAGAGGATGTTTAAATTGGATCTTTTCTTAGCCATTGTGCTGGACTCTTGGGGTCTTTAGTTTTTTGGGGGGGGCTCTTTAGTTTTGAGGATTTGTTTGCATTAGTTCTGCTAATATTTCTTGGGTAAATTTTTTTTCCCTTCTGTTTTTGCAAGTCTAACTGCTATTAGTTGGATGTTGGAGCTTTTGGATGGCCTTCTATGTCTCAGACCTTTCCTCTCATACATTTTTGTAACTTTTTCTTTTCATTCTGGGTTCTTAGATTTTATTTATTTATTTTTTTTTTCAAAAGTACTTGGACATTTTAATGAACTCCCCTCCATGTAGCTTTAAGCTACCAGGACACAGGCCCCACCAACACCCTTAATTTTCTCCTCGGCTCTTCTGCTGAAGAACTTGGCCTTCACAATGACAGGCTGCTTTGGGAGCTTTCCCTTCCCCAGAACTTTGTAGTAGCCCGATCGCACCACATCAATGATGGGAGCAACTCCAGTCTTGCTTTTGGCAGCATTCACCCGTGTCTGCTCACTGACCAGGGTCCACAGTTTATCAAGGTTGACAGTTGGGCAGAAGCTCTGGTTCCTCTTCAAGTGGTAATGCCTCATACCAACTTTCCCAAAGTAACCTGGGTGATATTTGTCGAAGTTGATCCTGTGATGATGCAGGCCGCCAGCATTCCCGCGGCCCCCCGGGTGCTTCCTGTGCTTGCCGATGCGGCCGTGGCCGTGGCTCACGTGGCCCCGAAGTTTGCGGGTCTTCCTCAGTCTGGATGGCATGCTGGCGGCCGAGTTGCAAGAGGCTGGGTTCTTAGATTTTAATTCCAAATCTTTTTGAATGTTTTATGTCAGCTATATATATTAATTAAAAATGCTATTTTGCTCAATTTTTATAATATTTTATTCATAATTTAGCAATATAGTTTAATGGAGTCCGTTTTCTGTTTCTTTAGTTACCTGCTTTCTTAGTTTTTCTGGTGCTGGAATTTCTCTTTCTTGCTTCTTGTTCTCATCATGCTCTTGGTGATCCATAGTTTCTGTTCATATTTAGAACAGAATGATGGGGTAGTTGGTGTGGATTTTCTCTGTTACTCTGTGAACAGATTTGTTTTCTATAATTGTAAATTCTTACTGGATGCTCTGAGAATTGGCCCCACATCTCCCTCTAATTATCACCTCTTTTTTTTTAGTAAAGCTCCTTGGAAGTGTTGTGTTTGTGATCTCCAATTTCTCTGCTCCTGTTTTTCTTGAACCACTGCAGTTAGGCCTGCATGCCCCAACGTGCTCCCTGTGATTTCCATTTTGCTAATTAATTCCCAGTTTTCATCTTACTTGACCTATTAGCTGCTTCACCACTTCTTTCTTCTTAAAGTGCTTTTTTCTTTCAACTTTCAAGACATTGTTCTCTAGGTTCTCCTCCTACTTTGCTGGGGCTGGTCGTCCTCACTATTTGCTGATTTCTCCCCATCTCCTTGACCTATAAAGATAGGAGTGTCTCAGGGTACATAGCCCTTGAGACTGTCTCTCAAAGGTGGAGGAGCTTACTAGTTGTGTATCTTCCTACATTACTTAATGTCTATGAGAGTTTAATTTCTTCATCTGAGAAATGCCCCCCTCTCTCTCTCTCTGCACTCACTTTGCTTTCTAAGGGATCTTGTTACTAGAGCTTTAAATTCTGCTAGATAGAGTTTGGCAAACTTTTTCTGTAAAGGGTTAGATTAAAAAAAAAGTATATTTTTATTGATTTCAGAAAGAGGAAGAGAAAGGGAGGGAGAAATAGAAATGTCAATGATGAGAGAAAATCATTGATTGGCTGACTCCTGCATGCCCCACACTGGGGATTGAGCCCACAACTCAGGCATGTGCCCTAACTGGGAATCGAACCGTGACCTCATAGCTTATAGGTCCATGCCCAACCACTGAGCCACACCAGCCAGGCAGTATTTGTGTTTTTGATGACAAATGTCAGTCACTGGAAAAGTTTTTCATGAGAAATGCCTCATTCCCTTGCCGACAGGGGTAAATGAAGACAGTATTTTGTTTATTTAGCTTACTGAAGACTGATTTCTTTTTCCCCTATTAGGAATTTGCAACAATTCTTGCTGAAGCTGTTACCTCCCTATATCTGCCTGTGGCAGTTATTAATCTGAAAGAATATGATCCAGATGATAATCTAGTAGAAGAGGTTCGTAATTGTTTTATTTTTTCCTCAGTCAAAACTCATATTTAATTGACCTGTGTTCTGAGATAAATAGAATCTTCAGAATCAAATTAATTTTCATTCTAAGAGATTTCAGTCGGTTGAGCTTTTGGTGTGAGTCAGAGGTGTTGAATGTGTGGTGTCGTGTGCTGATTCTGAAGTGGCGTGGAGTCTGTCCCTCTGCTGTGTTAGTCTCTCCTGGGGCGGGGGTAAAGGTGCAGGAGCTGGGTGGTTTGAAGTTCCCAATGCCCTCCTGCTTCGAATCTCATACTCAAGGAGGCTTGTTATTGCTGGCACTGTGCCATGCAGGGGAGCCATGTGCAAGCCTCCAGAAAGGCCAGGATCCACTTGGGTAGCAGAAGTATGGGCTTTAGAGTTAGAGAAACCTCTTACTAGTTGTGCACCTTCCTACATTACTTCATGTCTATGAGAGTTTAATTTCTTCATCTGAGAAATGCCCCTCTCTCCTCCAATCCTATCCAGTTATGGAAGTTTGCCTTATCGTAGTTGTTCTCAAAATGTGGCCCTTGAACCAGCAGTGTCAGCCCGGAGGCACATTAGAAATGCACATTCTCAGGCCCTAGCCCAATCCTGCTGACCCCGAGTCCAGCTGCGGGGACTGTGTTAACAGGTGCCCAAGACGATTCTGAAGCAGCTGGGGTCAGAGAAGCACTTACAGCAGGGGTGGACAGACTTTTTCTATAGAGAGCTAGATAGTAAACACCTTCAGCTCTGTGGGCCATGCAGCTACAGGTCTGCCTTTGAGGCACAAATCAGCCATAGACAATATGTAAACGAATGAGTATGGCTGGGTTCCAGTAAAACTTTATTGACAAAAACAGGTTGCAAGTTGGATTGGGCCTGTAGGCTATAGGTTGCCAGCCCCTTCTTAGTGTGTAAACTTCTAACTGTAATTGTCCATTGTTCCCCTCCCCCCGAAAACACTGTAGTGCAAATGAGTGAGCTCAAATCTGTGCTAAATTATATGTGAAAAATTATTAGCAAATTTGATACTTAATAATTGTAAGGGGTTACTTGTAACTTTATGACTTGGAACTGTTAAAAGTGACACTCAAAACAGATGAAAATTTTCAAAGCAGATGAAATACTTTGACTAGCATGTATTTTGTTTCCCTATGTAGATGATGGTGCCAAGTTTATGTTTAAAAAGTTTTATTGCTTTAATTTTTCAGATAATTTTTTAGAGATCTTAGTGTATTTTTCTGACTGACTTATAGTTTGTTTCCAATATGACAAATTGGATATGATTGGAATTGAGAGTCTAAGAAATAGAATGGAGTAAATGATGAAGGGCAGCAGGAGGTATATTGGCAAGGGACTGGGTTTTCTCCCCTGTACAAGGTGTCCTTGCTGTGTTTTCCTTCACCTTTGAAAAAGATTGTTTATGAAAGCACCCTTTGTTCTCAGAAATTAGTATGATAAGAATGTCAACACTTAAAAGAAGTTTTTCTTCTTGAATGTTTTTCTGAAATAATTACTTTCTTGGCTAGGTTACTAGTAAAAATGTTTGTGCCTTTCTGGTTGCTACATATACTGATGGCCGACCAACTGAGAGTGCAGAGTGGTTCTGCAAATGGTTAGAGGAAGCATCCAATGATTTTCGATTTGGCAAAACTTACCTGAAGGGTATGAGATATGCGGTGTTTGGCCTGGGAAATTCTGCCTATGCGAGCCACTTCAATAAGGTAGGTATAAGGTAGATATCTATGTTGAATTATAAGGATAAATTCTCTTTATTAAAAAAGTTTAACACATACATACACATATGTATGTGCATGTGAAATCCACAAACTTTGGTACTTAATAAACTTATTGTGTTATTCTTTATATCTGGGAATTGCTACACATATGTATCCAATCCTGGTATATAGGCTCAGTAAATTTTTATTGAATACATTTTTACTGAATAAAATAAATGAATATATCTGTTATTATCTAGTGTCTTAGGGGCCTGGGTTCGTAGGCTTTGAGTTCAGCCTTCTGTCCCCAGGCAGGACCTTGTGGATGGAATTATTACATCAAGATGTATATTTACTCCATATTTTCAAAGAATGATACAATTCAGATATGTAAATATTTTGTTTACTGCCTTGCCACTGAGGAAGTCTGTTAAGCTTTTAAACTCTTAGCTGTGCTTGATAGCCCCTGTTCCTCAGCCTCATTGCTTCATATTGCAAACAATAAATTTCTGAGTTTATGAAATTACTAGGGGCCCGGTGCACGAAATTCGTGAACTGGGGGTGTGTGTGTGGGGGGGGAGTGTCCCTCAGCCCAGCCTGCCCCCTCTCACATACTGGGAGCCCTCAGGCGTTGACCCCCATCACCCTCCAAATGAGGGCAGGGGACCCTCATTTCCTCCCATCACTGGTTCTGCCCACACACCAGGCCTGATGCCTCTGGCCCAGGCATCAGGCCTGGGCAGGGGACCCCCAGACCCCTCCGATTGCTGGCTCTGCCCCTTGCCCAGGCCTGATGCCTCGGCCAGAGGTGTAGACCCCCATCACCCTCCGATCGCCTGATCGGCCCCTTGCCCAGGCCTGACGCCTCTGCCAGAGGTGTCAGGCTTGGACAGGGGACCCACATCTCCCCCCGATCACTGGCTCTGGCCCCCGCCCAGGCCTGCGGCCTCTGGCCCAGGGA